TTGGCCAAGAGTCAAATGTTGCTTTCACTAAACAATATATATATATATATATATAGTATATAAATATTTTGATTGGAAATAGCACCAGAGCTGATTCTTATCCCTATTCTTCTTAATGACTCATGATTTACATGTTGTTGTTTCTAATGTAAGATACGCTAAGATAAGATAAGGTAAGGTATACTTTATTGTCCCCAAAGGGAAATTTGTCTTGGACTCTGTCCTGCAGTTGCAAGAGAATTAAAAAGTTCATAAACAGAGATCATATAAAACGTAACTATTCCACATATACATAAAAAGCCCTTCCTACAGCAGTGACTACATTCGTTCAAAACAGCAAAAAAAGGAGCACACACAAAAGTAATTTTCAACATCAAATCAGTATTGGCCCTGATTACTCAATTTGTGCATCCTGACTCAGTACACACTTTATATCATGGTTGCTTTTTCATCCAACTGATTATAACAAATGGTCAAGGACCCCTGTTGGCATGAACCTTTTATGTATGTGTGTGTCTGTGTGAGTGTGTTGAACACCTGTCCTGTAGGCAGTCCAAGGAGCATGTCGTCCATTTTCATGAGCCGTCGGTTACCGTTGTGAAACACTCTTGACCTTCCTTTGGCTGTGTGTTTGGGCTTCTCCACTACAACCGGATCTGTCAGATGGCAGTCCACCACACTGTCCTACACACACAAGCACAAATTTTGCGTCACAGTAAGGAGCGCCGGATAGCCTAGCGGTTATGTTGCGCACCCCAGGTACAAATCGCAGGGATCAAACCCAACCGCAGCCCCAAAAAACAACTTTAACAGTAAGGTTTAAAACAAAACAAAAACGTCCAAAAGCGTCCAAATCCAATCACACGTAAATGTGCTCATTCAAACTTTTCTCTGTGTGTGTGTGTGTAGCTTACCATCCAGGTCCAGAAGACCTTTTCCACCTGTTTCCAGTTCAGGTATGATTCGAGGAGGTCACAGAGCAGCCGCATACACACACAGTCCTAAAACACACACACACTTAAAATGATCGATTTTGAGAAAACTCCAGAAAAATATTAGAAAGCTGCTATGTAGTGAGACACACAACCAACAGAGTAAATAACCAAAAACTGAGTTTAAATCAATATCTATGAATGAACTTTAAAGAAGATACAGGCAAAAAGAAACTAAGGCAACAGAAGGAAAAACAAGAAAATGTTGAGATACTGTATCTCAAGTATTTGTCTAGACTGCAGAGGGTGAAGCTAAACTATGTGAGGGATTTGATCTTTGTTTGAGGAAATGATGATTCTACCTGGTAATGATTTTATCTCACAGTTTCAGTTATCCAAGTTTTTTAACTTCTGTTCTTTCATTGGGATACTTTCTCCAAAAAGAGAATGGAGAGGGGACATTGACATAATAATATTATTTCATATATATTATATATATCATAATATTTGATTTCTCAAAATCTTGTTTCCTCTCTGTTACTCAAAAGGTCCAAAATAATCCTTTGACCTGCTTGATTCTAATCTTTCGGCCAATTCATAACTACAGGCATTTTGTTATGTTTTAGCACTTGGTTGCACATTCTGGCGTTGATTGTTTTACCCTCCATGAGGTTTAGTTTTCAGATGAGGTCTGTATCTGAAAGCAGAGCACTTTACTAGTAATCCTTTACTAAACAGCACACATACTTACCTCATTTAGTACTGCTGAGATTTGATCAGAGGACGATGGAGAGGAGGAGAGGCTGGAAAGAAAAACCTGCGAAAAATACAGATTTCTCAATTACGCTTGAATAAACTCAATCCTTTGATTATTACAGCTACTTATAGTGAGTATCTTATATAAAATGCTGTGATCAAAGCGTGTTCTACTTTACTTTTCATTCTGTTCATTTCTGTTCTTCTGTCACTTTGCTCAAACTTTACTTTGACCAAAGTTTTTCCACTGCACAAATAAAAAGAAACAGAATGGTAGTCAGGGAAAAGATCGAAAGGGAGTTTATCTCACAGCATGAAGCAAGCGTGTTCGCTCTTCTTGCATGGACAGCAGAATCCGGCCCTGATGTCTCAGCGAGCCAATGAGCCACTGAAGCTTTCTGAGAGATGCTGAGTCTATCTGGAGGTCTTTGGAAAACTCAGTGCACACCTTAGACACACATGGGGAGGATTAGACGGATACATTAATATAAATACATACTTCTTTTACCATCATGGCAGGATACCGGTTGTACTTACATGTGTAGATGTGCATAGTGTTTTATCTAGTTTCTGTACCCTCTGGGTCACTAGTTTCTCCAGAGTTCCTGCAGCGAGCAGCCAACCCAGAGCCAGGAGGAGCTCTCTGCTGGAGCATCGCCCTCCCTCACCTCCGCCTCCTTCCTCCCTCTCAAACATCCAGTCAGCATGGTAACCAGTCTGCCAGAGACCAGCAGCCACCAGCTTCTTTTGCTCTGTGATTGTTAAAAGAGGAAGAAGAAAAAACATACATACAGTCACTCAGAAAGTACGCTAAACTATCTTAATCCCCCTGTCCGCTTATTGTGAAAGGAGCGACAGAGCCTCTTTTGTCATATGTGAGGCTATAAAGGTACAACAGTAAAAGTTATTCTCAGTTACATGATTAATTTAGATACGATCAAAATCACATTATAAGAGCAACTTCCAGATCACATAAGCTGGAAAGTTTTGATTAAAAAAACAGTCAAAAAGATTGCCTTTTTTAATTCAACTTTCATAACCAAAAAGTACTACTGTGATGTATTTTACACCCTGGACATAACCCACAACTTGACTCACCTCCTCCCAGCTGTGTACAAGATTCACAGGAAACAAGTCCAGCTGTCTGAAGGAAGTGAGCGAGAAGTTGCCAAAACTGATCCTCCTGGTGAATCACAGCAAGCAAAAATATATCTGACATCACAGTACAGAACAAGAACAGGTGCTTCTTCCTTATTGTGCTAATCTAGTTCCGATGAATGTACTTCATTAAATGTCGACATTCAGGGCGCAGATGGCCTATCAGTAAGGCTGCACTCCATTTACAGAGGCTGTAGTCCTACAAGCGGGCAGCTCCGGTTCAAGTCCAGTCTGTGCATGTCATTCCCCACTCTCTCTCTGACTTCCTACTCTATCCACTGTCCCATCCAATAAAAAAAAAAAGAAAAAAAAGAATACTATACAATCATAATTTGTTATAAAGCCTTGTTATGACAGGAAATCATCATGAAATAAAGTTTTATGTTTTATATCAAGGTTATTGTACAAGTCACAAATAGAAAATGAGGTAATCGTATCTTTTAGTTTTATATTGAAGTTATAAGTAGGTTAAGCTGTCACATAAATTAAGCTTTCCCTAGTTGTTTAAAAAGGCTTTTATTTTCTTTGGAAAGCAGAATAGAAATATGGTAAATGCAATGACTCCGATTCCAAAAAAAAGTTTGGCCAAAGTTTTTTATTTAAATTTCAAAACTCTACTTGCATACAGTGTGTCAGTATGTCACGGTTATTGATTATTTATTTATGTATGACCTGTTAACAAGTTGGCATTTAAGGTCAAGTGTTTATTTAACTCCTTCAAGTGTAATGTGCAGTTCAGCTTCTGCTCCAGACAGTGAAATAAACAAGATGATGAACGTACCACCTCGGGTCCTCCACCAAATTTCGCCCGCCTGAAGGTCTCCGGTGCGGGGACAGAGTCCAGGCCGGTGTCCGCTAACAGCCTACAGAGAGCTCCGATCACCTGCTTCACCTCCACACTAACAGCGGCTTTACTCCGCTGCATTACAACAAAAGCACACTAAACTTATACGAACAAGATAAACAGTCACTAAGCTATCATACTAAGTCCTAAAGGATACTCTAAAATGTTTAAGAAGACATATTCAATGACATTTTCTCCGCTCGGATGTTCTTGAGTTGTTGATATTTCGCGGCAAAGACAACAACTTCCGGGTACGAGGCCGTTGCCAAGGAAGCGGATAGAAGATTGATGGTCAAATTGGCCAATTACAAGTCTGATTCTGACAGAAGTGGGTTGGACTTAATGTGCGTAGGTAGTGAGGTTTCTGAAAGGCTTCCATATACAACTAACTAAGTAGCCAAATGTAACTTCTTAAAATGAACCTCAGCTGATACTGCAAAAACAAAGTTGACAACTATATCTTGGATTAAATCACAAAAGAGACTGTTTTTATCACTCAGTCCAATTCATTTCTTTTCCTGTATATTAACAAGATCACGGTTATATTTCAAGGTAAAAAGTTCAACTGATAAACTTTTATTCATTTCAGATATCAAAATCATTTAACAAACAAACATAAATATATCACATTTTTATGAACAAATGTGCCTAAAATATTTAAAGGCATGAAAATAATTTTACAAAGACAATGTTAATTAATAAACATGCTACTCGCATAAACCTTGGTGTAACATTTTTACAAACAGGAAAATGCAGTAAATTACATCAATCAGAAACTGTCATAAAGTACAGTTGTCTTCTTTCTGCCCTCCAAAAAATGAACACTGGACATTCAAACATTTCACAATTTATATGAGATCAGAATATAACCATGTCTAGACAGAAATTAAGATCTTAGTATCATATCAAAAGGAAAATCTAAAAAAACACACACACAGAGCTTTAGACATTTTGTGGCCATTACATATTTTACTTTTAACTGTTTGCTCCACAGATGGTCCCTTTATGCCCTATGAGAAGGTGAGTAGAGAAAGCTTGACCTCTTATTTGTAATGCTATCACTGCTTCCTACCCTGAGAACTCAAATGTTTAAACCCTAATTCAGCAAATTCCTGAACTTTTTAACAATGAGGCAAACAGCTTGTACAAATTAGACCGACAGGTTTCGGCTTGTGGTCTTCATCAGGGTCATCATTTCACTCATCATGCACCTTGATAGTCGGTGAAGTTGTGTCAGAAAATCCCACTCTGCTACCAGTGTAGCTAAAGTCATGTAGCATTACCTTCTCCATCTCTCTATTAGGATGTTGTTGAGGGAGCACAGTGTTTTGTCTTTATAGCTTAATGGTAGCTAGAAGTATTTCCTGAACATTTGCTCCAATCAGATGTCTCTGCTCACTCTTGTGTGCTACATCGTGCTTTAGCTTTTGCTCAAATAACACAGAGGCGTATAAATCAACAACACAGTAAAAACACAATGTAAATCTAGATTTTGCACGTCTTGCCTTCTGATGGTTCAGTACCATACAAGCTCACAGGGGATTGGTGATAAAATCCTAATGCTGTTAAAAGCATTAAATAATGTACTTATAATGAAGTCACACTCAAAAAGGTCTCCTTAAATCCTCTTTCTGGTCCCAAAACCCAAAAGGCCCTGAAGTACCGTCAATTTGTTTGACTCTTTAAATTCACCACAAACCCTTTCTTTGTAATTTTTTGTGCTTGTCAAAGTTGTCAGAATCATTTTATAAAAAGAAAAGCTTCACAACAAACTGTACAATACTTTTAAAAAAGGGAAGAGTCTTGTGGATTGGGGTTGTAGTTTTACTGATCACTCTTCAACTTTCTCCTTCTTCTTCCTCTTCTTCTTTGATGACCGGGGTTCCTTGATACGACAAAAAATAAGATACTTTCAATCACATCTTCAAAGTAAAACATTATTGCTTTTGTGTGAAGACATGGTACCTTTCTGTCTTTTTATATGATAGTAACTCTGTTGTTTGTCTTTTCTTCAATAATAATCCTTTATCTTATCATACATCTGGTTTTATCAGGGTGTATGTCATACGTTTTTGAATTCATGTTTTAGCATATTTAACTAAGTTTACAGTTTTATTTGTTCCTATAACAAACTTTGCAACTGTGTTTTGAAGAGTACTTTAAAATAGTTGTTTATTGTTATTCTATAATTGACCATGTAAAATTAAGCTCAGTGTTTTTCCTTTAGTTTCTCAGCCCCTTGAGGTATTTCCATAAATATGTACCAGTTGTTGTTTTTTTCTGAATTATTTTGTTGTTGTTTAATTTTTTCAGGATGATTCCTGAATCAGGATTGTCCTTCCAAAATTGATTGTAAAACACTCTTACCATCTAGTTTCCTCAGTTTTGGGAGTCTTTTAGAGGCTTCATCCATCCAGGTTCCTTCAGCTGAGTATTTCTCCTCCAGAGGATTTCCAACAAACACCAGGTCTGCGAGGCACGGCAAGTCAGCTAGCCTCACGAACTCTCCTTAAAAAACAAAGGTGAGGATACCAACAGCAAAAAAAAAGATCCGCACATTAAGTTACAAAATCTGCACTACATGAAAGACTTTTAAACTAAGAGTTCATATGCAGTATAAAGCAAGCTTAACATTTCTCCTGCATTTCAGTGTCACATTAAAGCAGCAACTTTATACACTAAATACAGTTCTTTAAAATTACCCCAGATTATTGCAATTGCCCCAATTTGCCAATATGTGTTTCCCTACACTGTGTGGCCTTTATTTATGATTGCAGCTTACCCCAGTCTTTGACCAGGTTGTTGGAAATGTAGAGGACTTTGAGTTTCTTCATGCTGTGGATTCCCTTCAGCTTCTCAATCACGTTATAGGAGATCCACAACTCTTCTAATGTTTCCCCTACAGCCTCCTGCATGAACACAACGAGATACAAAGACAATATAATATACATTCAATGTGTGTAATTAATATTCAATTATTGAAACACAAGGACTATAAAACTACAGACTGTTCATTCTGTTTACAACTTACCAGCCCAGTAAGAGCCTTGATATTATTCCTTCCTAAAGACAAAATCTTCAAGTTCTCTGGAAGCACAAAACACATCACATGATGTAGTCAGCAGTCATATGAATGTGACAGGTGTGTATGTGTGTGGTAAAGTTATACTGTATGTATGTATGCAGACAGTACTCACTCAGGCCGTTGAGATTGGTTATTTTCTCGATGCAGTTTGTGGACAGAGACAGCTTTCTGTGGAGGATAGAGTTCATTAACATGAATTTAAAGGATGATTTCATAGACTGGTTTCATCAGAATCAGTGTTAAAGTTACAGGCTCTGTTCATGTTGTGAGAAATAAGATCACAGTTTGACAATAACCCAACCACTTATAGTAATAGTGTATCACTAGTTTGAGTTTACAAGAAGTGACAGAAATTAAATCATCAGATTTAAGTTATAATATGATTTGACTTTTAATTGGTTTATAACAATTTTCTTGATTTTGAACTGGTACGTTTCTCAAAGGCTATTATTTTAGAGCTGTATCCTCCTTATCTCTCATGAAGAAAGGAAGAATAATAGAAAGACCACGTATTGGGTCCTAGATTTAAAAATATATATGGCTCAGCGTAAGTACCGAAAAATATTACATGCATACTCAGAAGCAAATTGAATTAGTACAAAAAGATGTGGACATCTTTAATATTTTCTAGAGCGAGGAGACTTGGGGAATAAATGATTAAAATAAAGAGACTTGATGATCATTTCCTGTACATCCTACGTTGATAAAGTAGATTACATTTCTATTACCTATTATTTAAAACTTCTTAAATTCAATGTATCAATAAGAATTTCAAATAAAATGAATGTGAAACAAAGTGAAAGTTGTTTCAGCGAGACGAACATGAACAGCACATTTAACATGTTAACATATGTTTGTACAGCATATCGACCTTTTGAGATAACAACAGTTACAGTGCAGGTACAGGACTCACTCGCAGTTGGTGAGTGTGGAGAGAGAAGCATCCATCTTCTCTATCGGAGGAATCTGACCGTACAGTTTAATGGCTGTAGCCTCGCTCGCTTGTTCCCCTGACTTCTCGCCCTGCACACACACACACACACACACACACACACACACACACACACACACACACACACACACACACACACACACACACACACACACACACACACACACACACACACACACACACACGACATACATTTTATTTGCAAGCAGCCATTGCCTACTCGTGTAAGAATTACTTTCTATAATACGCAGAAAATGTCAGAAATCTAAAAAAAGTGTCTACTTTCTGAGCACAAACCAAATGTAATCAGTTAGCTATCATAGAGAAGTAAAGAATAATTAATTAGAATATCCACATTTAAAAGAGAATTGTAACTTATCTTTATAACAGAATGACTAAAACTAAATAAGAAATAAATGCAGCACAAGTAAATATATGAATAAAGCAGAGTTAAATGGTATTCTTTCTGTATTTTATTACAGTATTTGTATTTTACTCACCCATTTGGCCAGAGCCTCTTTCACAGTCGTTGCTTTGGCCTGCAGACAGAACATTGAGTGAGACAGGAAACTGATGACAAACAGCAGACAGGTACAGAAAACAACAGAAAACACACTTTCTACTCAGCTGTCAATGTACTCTGGCTTTATTATCATTCTCATATTCAGGCTCTACATTCTTGGGAGACATTTTCTTCCCAGTTCTCCATTTAGAAGCAGAAAAATATACAAAATAGACCGGTCTGTTTCCACACAGTACTGAGTATTATACAGTACAGGCTGTTTAACGCCAGCTTACACATTTGACAAGCTAACTAGCTAATTAAAGTTAGCCCCTATTAGCTTAAAGCAACAACAATATTGCGCATAATGTCATCGACAACTCTCAGAACCGCAGTCACGGCATTCTCAAATAAGTGATAACACTCACGATGGTTTAAATGAGCTTATTTACGCACAAAAAGCTCGGATAAATGAACACCGACAACAGAAACACTCACCATGTTGATGGTCGACGTCTGCTCCGGTTGCTATGGCACTGAGAGGCAGCCTACAAGCTGCGCATGCGCAGTATGACTGCCTGGGCATGACCCAGTTTGGAAAACAATTGAAGTGCAGATGAGCAGGCAAATGCAATTCTAGTGCAGCAAATGTCTTTTTTTTTAACTTCCCTATATGTTAAACAGCAGGTGCACTGTTTTGATGGTAT